GTTGAAGTGATGAAGCTGAAAGCGGTGGTAGCTGCTAAAGAATCTTGTCTCGTTTTATACTCGTGGTGACCTCTACCACGTTGATTCGTCTGACGTCTGCTATATCTACCTCGACCTCTGACTCTGCACTGTGATGCTATATGTCCGTGCTTGTTACATCGATAGCATGTGATGAAAGCTGCGTCATCTGATTTGGAGTTTTCATTTGAATTTGCCATTGTCATTTTCAGTTCCTCGTCTAATAGTCTTGATTTAACAAATTCTAGTGTTAGGTTTTCATTGCTCAATGTTTCGATCGCTGTAATTACATTATCATATTTTTCACTTAATCCAATCAACAAATAGCATATTTTATCCATCTCACTAATCTTTTCATCCGCGCACTGTAGCTCTCTGACTATATCATCGAATCTCGAAAAATATTCTTCTATTCTTTCCGTATTACTATGTTTTATATTTAATAATTTTCTTCTGAAGTGAATTTTCGTTATGACACTTTTTTCTATGAAATGTCTCATTTATTCTTTCTAGCATTTGGAAAGCCATAGCGCAGTCTTTAATAATGTTCAAATATTTGTCTGGAAAACAATGTACGATAATATTTTTGGATTTTGCATCTTTAGTCGAAAAATCAGAACTTTTTGTTTCTGTATCATTTATTATTTCATTTAGACCTTTTTCTTCTAATATGCAACGTACTCTAAAAAGCCAATTGTTGTAATTTTCAGCATGTAGCTGCGGAAAATTTGTCGTAGTAGCAGCCATTTTCTTTTTTTACAAATTCTGTTCTACTTTTTTGATAAATAATATTGATTTATTTTCTTTATCTCATTTCATTCTTTTCTGCACTTTTATGGGTGATGCGGCCCATAACCTATTAATAATATAGAGCTATGTGCGCATATTATTTATTTAAGGAAAATTATCACAACGTTACATGACATTAGTTTTTCTTCATACACCACGAATTCTTAAGTGACAATGTCAAGTGACCATAACTAACACCAACTTCAGCAATTTAGGTTAGCAATTATCGAATCGAAGCGTTACTTCTAAAAATATAGTAGCTGCAAAAAAATAGAAAAAAATATAGTAAGTATGTGGTTATAATATTTACTTTATTTATGAAATAAATATATTTTTCTGCTATTTGCCTTACTACTATCATAATAACAATCTCTAATAATTTTTAAGAAAGCTTTTACTGTCAATTCACTGTATTTGATCCCCTAATATAAAAGGACATTATATTTTATAGTAGGGTTGGCAACCCTACCTGCAATCCGAGTGGCGCTGGTGAATTCAGAATCTGAAACAAAAATGACCTACACATTCCGGTAAAGTGCCTGACTCCGAAACCTGCGCGGGCAACCATTTGCCTGCTGCCACTATGGCCACGTTGCTTAAACTACACTGTTTATTTCTCGCGCTTGTTTTCTGAGTCTGAATCTGATTCTGAACCAGCGTGCACTGTGACCGTACCCTATTGATGTATTATCTGGTTGAATGTTTTCAATAATAAAAAAACCATTATATTTCATTAATTTTTCATCATATTCACTATGAATTTCTACCTATTATATCTGACATTCATTCGTCATTCCGCGCTTTTTCTTTTAATTGAATTTTATACTAGAATACATGTATATGTTAGGAAACACCATTTTTCAGCAGAATTGAAGTGGGAGTTCGGTTTTTGCATGAGAAAACAACATAATTTTCCAGTTTTGTGGGAGCTCCGACTCGCGGCACGTATGATCCAAAATGATAGCGGTCGAGCGTGAACTAGTTTTATAATGCACATGGTTCAGTTCAATGGTACTTTGGCGAAAGGGGATCGCCCGCTTATACCATCTGCATTGGTATATGCTCTTAGGAACCATGCCATGCTTTGTAGCTAGAATCAAGTCCAATATCGATTTTTTTGTACATCTCATTCAAAGAAGTTGACTTGACAGGAAGATCGATTTCGATTTGGTACTCATCATTTCATCACATCACTATTTGCTTGCTATTGCGGTTTGCCATTTGCCGCACACGTGCTGAGTTTTGTGATATTTTCTATTAATTATTTTAATTTACAGTGTCCCAAGGGCAACGCAGCTCCCCTGCTGTTTAAGAAGTTCTTTATTCTTGGCTATTTGGTGTCGATTTTGAAATGTAAGTCTAATTATTGGTATTTTGACATGCAGGGGTGGGGCAAAATGTCTTTGGAATAAGCCGCCACGTGTCCTGTTTTATTAGTTTTCCATGATTTTATCTAGTAAATTTCAAACTGTAGACTAAATCAATATTACTTTAATAGTTCTCAATTTATTTTCGTCAAAATTATGGTTGTATGCTTCCATCTGAGGCTTTGAACAAGTGCCGCAATTCGTTTGTACTCAGATGATCGATTATTTTCATTCACAATGTAAAGTTGATCCTTTAAACTGGGTGTTTACAGTTTATTTAGATATTTATCATTTAAATGATGTTGTCAATAAGAGAAGTCACTTTGTGATGATTCGAGAAGCGATAGTGACATTTAGGTTATCAAACTAGGTGCGTTCTCATCGTTCCGAAACTTATCTGATTATCTAGGTACCAATTTGCCTATACTTTGTGTGGTATCTCTGCAGCATTTGACATCAATATTGGTGAGAAAGCTTCAATTGGTCAAGTGCTGGATTTTTATCCATAATCGAAAATCAACATGACATATTTGTAAGAAATAATTTACACTAATTTTTACTTTTTTAACTACCCTCAATTTGATTACCAAAATTTTTACTTTGGATTCCTTAAAAATCTGTTGATTTTACTGTTTATATTTTACACCTACCCTCTTTAATTTTTCCTGAGTAGGATGGCCTTTTTAGTCCTATGGTGTCTACTATATTTGATTTTTGTTTACAAATGCTTCAATAAGAAGAAACAACTTTTTTAAGAATTTGATTACCTTATTATATCCTTGGTTTTCACAAATAAGGTTATGTGTGGGTGGGTGAGTGAGTAAGTGAGCAGAACAATCATGTTTGAATAGCTAGGTACCTATGAAATTGTTATTTTTATCAGTAACTTATATTTGAGAGTATTTTCATGTGCTTATAAGATTTGGTAATGCATAAACACCTGAACAGTTTGTCTGTAAAAGGTTGTCAATTAATAAATTTGTATTCACCTGTATAAAAATTTACGATCCAACAGTAATTAACCTTAAGTAGTAGGCAATGAAAATTTATTAATGCAGTCTAGGCCCGAACAACTTTTTGCTTAACTATGGAAAGAATCCATTAAAATAATTCAGTCAGAATTGTAATTTCGACATGTGAGTTGACCATTGCTTTGCTTAAAAATTTTTTTTTTTACAGTGTAGCTTGTGTTCATGGCCATGGTGTCGGAAACAAAGGTGGTGAGTGGTGATGAGATGGATGCACCTGCGGAGTTGCCACCAGCATTGGCAGAGAAGCCAGCTGGCTTGCCACCCGGCAAGTATTCCCTGGTTGGCTGGGACATGGACACTACTGGACGGAGACTCATTGATGAGGTAAGATTTGTTCCTGGAAGTTATTTGCTTTATTAAACAAAACCGGTTTATAGCAATAATAAATAATGATCTACTCCATTTGATTTCAATAAAATAACATATTCTATTCATCAAATGTGCTAACAAAAAGCAATAATAAGGTATACAATGAATTAGTGTATCTAATTAGTTTTCCAATTATCTTCTAAGAATAAGAATTGTCACCATTAGATAATGTAATCAAATGAAATAGCCGAGGTCTTTACTTTGGGTGATAAGATATAAACAATTATAATAGTTTATTTAATTGGAATGAATTTTAAATATATAGGAAAAATCTAGAATTTCATAGTATCTCATTTTAACTAGGTTTTTAGTTTCATAATACACAAATACTTACATAAACTTTCAGCTGTAAAAATATCTATACACTTTTGAGTAACCACTTGTTGTAAATACAATATGATATCCATTCTTTGAAAAATTGTGTACATATGATTAGTCATGAATACTCATAAACAAATAGCAAAGAGACAGCTGTTCAACGACAAATTTAATTTATTATATACCAAAAGGAGATTCTCCTGCGAGTGTTTTTTCGAAATGTTACACAAAAACAAAAGCGAGTGGTTATACACATTTGTATAAGCATACACAATGTTTCTGTTTTCTGTGACAGACTGAAAACATTCCCTGTGCGGGTAGAGAGGGAAAGGATTAGTTTTATTCCAAATGCCAATCAAGCCTTCCTCTGCAGAAGTCTTCATCATGAGCACAAAAAGAATTAATCAATTAAAGAAAATTTTACAAGAAAAGATTTCACATGGCCCGGGCATCAGATGGGATAAATCTAGCAGATATATGCTTAAAAAAATTAATAAACAGAATGTTTGGTGTAAACAAATATGTATAAAAAAAAACATGTAAACTTTTTGCTTTCAAGATTTTCTATTGGACATTTTTGGAAACGAAGTATCATCTTTTTAATCTACTGTTATATTATTTATCCATAGTACATAAAAGATTAATATTAAAAAAGACAATGCATTATATGTGTGACAAAGCAAATTATTAAGTTATATTTATTCATATCATCATACACTATTGATTTGTTAGTTATAGACTAGCAGTTAGTCTATTAAAGAGCATAGCAAATTCTATCACCACCTCCTCCTCACAGAATACTAAGAATTATCATTGCGATGTGATTGTTGATAAGAAACTTGTGAGCTCCATGAGTTAGGGGATTTGGTACATGCCAGCAATATTGGGACGACTAGAGCAACCCATTTTTCCTCTACATTAGATACGAAACTGGACTGCACTCACTCTTAATGTCAGTGGTGTATGGATGGGGTAATTTTCTGCAAATTATATAAAAATAGAACAAAACAAATGGCATTTCCAGTCTGTGGAGATGCTATGCTATCATGGGATGAGGTCATGAAAGCTGACCTTTGTTTATGACATGCTTAATGTGTCAGAATGCTAACTTATTTAAAGCAATTCTTGAAAGTACAAACAAAAAATATAGGGAGCAATAGCACATTTCTAAAGCTATTACAAAATTTATCTATAGTATTTTTAATTCCCTTAACAAAGTGAAATACTTTAATTTTTTAAGCATATAACTGCTAGATGTTTCAAACCTAAAGAAAATATTACTAGAAAAAAATCCATGTGGACCAGGCAGCATATGGGACTCGAACCCGCACCCTTCGCTGTCTGGGTGAATGCACTGACCATTTATGCCAAAGCGGCCCTGATGGCCGTGTCGAATTCTTTCTAGCCTTTATTAAGCTGCAAGGCAGCACCATCTCTTCGCATTGTAGGTAACCCACAATGTCAAATGAATACCTTTTCAAGTATTAAACATTTGAAAGAAGAAAAAGCAATTCTAGTTATAATTTTAATTTTTTTAAGCATGAAACTGCTCCATGTTTAAATCTAAAGAAAATATTACTAGTAAAAATACAAAAAGGTAATTTCTATTTTCTCTTTTGTCATCAGATTTGCCAGATCGCAGCGTACACACCGAAGCAGACGTACTCGCAATACATAATGCCTTACGGGGACCTGAACCCGGGCGCTCGTCGCCGTCACAACGTGCGCGTCGTCACTGTAGGCCGTTATCGGATGCTGAAAGATACTGTCACTCATAAGGTTAGTTGGTGTTTTTATTGTTACTAGATTTGGTTTGGTTCTATTTACCCCAGTCTTTTATGATGATTGTCAGGTTTCTTAAATTAACAATAATTTAAGCAAGTTTGAGAGTCTGTTACTGGCCTGTTACTTTTTATTTTCTAGTGCCCATAAACGACGACTTTTTTAAATCAACTACAAATTAACTCTCTTTATTTAGTATTTGACTGCCAGTTTCTGCTTATTAATTTATCAGCCTATCAATGTCCCCACTGCTGAGGCACAAGCCCTACCCTCTCTACGGATAGCATAGGTAGAAGGGGCCATGACCTTCTGCAGATTGGGGCGCTAACGACTAGCGGCTTAACTTGCCCTCCCAAGCAAGCAAAGTTTTTGCTCACCCATCCAATGACTGAACATTGCGAAAGTTACTGAACTTCGGTGATCGCAGACCAAACGCGCTAACCACCCGCACTATTGATCTCTTGATCGCTCATCTTCATATTAATTAACCTACAAATGCATAAAACTTAACCAGATTCTGAAGACCAAGTCTGAGATATCGGCCTTATCTGACTTCCTGGACTGGTTGGAGAAAGAGAAAGGAGACGGCAGCGTCATCCTCATCTACCACGAGCCTCGCCGGCTCAGCCCCACTATGTTGCTTGAAGCGCTCACCAGGTCAGTTTTGGATTAGTATGTACAGAATTTGTGTTTATGAGATGTAGATTTTCCACTTTGAATGGAGAGACCGTTTGGTGTAGTTCCAACTTTCAAAAAACCTCTGTGAAATAACACTACCTTTTGGTGGATTGTGAAATGTTTTTCTCGCGGTGATTAAGGGTCCAGGGCTCCACGGGGTAGAGTATGGGATCAGGGTAAGCAACAGTGTTGGCGAATTTCTTGGTACCACAAGCATCTATAGGCTATGACTAGTGTTACCAGGTTCTTTTTGTTTATAAATCGGTACATGAGGTCAAAAAGTCGGGATTTAGGGTGCATTTATTGCGTTTTTTTGATTAATCGAGACATTTGGCGTCCCGACGGGACGAGAGGGAACAAGTCGGGACGCGTCCCCAGACCCCTGAAAATCAGGACACCTGGCAACACTAGCACACTAACACTGACGGCCGCTTACCGTTTTTTTTAAGTTGCAGATAAGCTAATTTCAAGACGTGATGCTTTTGAAAACAAAAACATTATTTCTTTCGTAACTTTGATGTATCGCTATATCATAGGAATATGCCTATCTGCTAATTCATAAAAAATAAAATTCTTTGCATTAATAAATTTACTAGTTTAATAAGTCAACCTAAACATTATTTCAAATGAGTTATTAATATCTCCATCTTCATCATTAACAATAATGGGGTACTTATGTAGTTTTATGTATCATCTTTGTGCATTATGTAGTTAAATTGACTTTGTCATTAGGTCTGAAATGAAGAAAACATTAATGTATTTGACCATCAATTTGTGTAAATGACAATAAAATTGATAAAATATACTTTGCAAAAAGTTATAGACAATAGACTAAATAATAAAGGCTTTGTGTTAATATCAAGTTTATATGAGACATCACATAATAATTAGCACTCTTCTTAGCAACTAGAAATTTTAACCCTGTAGATGGAATGGTTTTTCGATTTTCACAACTGTTGTAACATCCTTAACCAAATGAACAATATTGAATTTTACATAGATATAGATTATGGGTGATTCTCAGTTAAGAGATAATCGGTTGTATGGAAGCAGCGGCACAGCAAAAAGTGTCGATATTTATATAACTATACCACTACTTTTATCAAGACCGATGATTTTAATATGATTTTAAGATGATCAGTCATTTTATTAATTTATTCTCGTTTTATGAGACACCAGGGCCAGGGGAGATACTGAGTACAGGGTAGAGACAAGATGACCTTTATTGCAATGCGCTTAGAGCGCATATTAGGATGTAAAGTACTTATCTGTGCAATCAGATTTTAGTGAAATAACGATATAAAGCTAAACAATTATCTAAAATTATATGCAATTGTACATTCTCTAATAAATTATCATTACTGTTATTGAGCTATTGCTTCGTTTTTATAGATTTGTTAGTAGCCTGGCACTATAACAGCCAGGGGAAATATGGCAGGGGAGAGACATTTTCGTTAAAAATCTAAAATTGCCGTAACATTAAACTAATTTTACAAAGATTACAAATAAATAAAAGGTTTGCCGCGCTATTTAAAATAAATGTATATAGATATTGTAGTATTTAAACACATACATACATAAAAATTACCAGGGTAAATACTTCGATCACTCAACACGGCTGCACTCATAGTGCACCGTTGCGCAAATGGCCAAAAAATTGCCGCGCGGATGGCTTGTGCAGCGCTTGCTGCTAACTTCACGTGACACTCGGTGTCTTCAAGGTCAAAACTAGCATAGACTATGGTAAACAAATACGATTTTCAAACTAAGCCTAAGGCCAGGGGGCGAGACACGAAATTCGGAGGACACAGTTTGCGATTAATATATTTTATAAAAAGTGCAAATATAAATGAGTTTAAAGGTTACATACTGTAACTTAGTTATCAGGGTTCATGTTATTACCGATAGAAAAGTAAAAATTAAATTTCAATGGACTCAAAATTACTGATTTACAAAAAAGAATGGTTAGGGGACAACCCAGGGGAGAGATGTTTTTCCTCTTTGTGCTGTTATTGTTAGTAAATTATGCACATTTAGAATATAATTTTCAGTGACAATTTAGAACACATTTAGTTAATTGAAATTATTAAGATTTTAGACCATAATTTCCAAATATAATGATTTTTTTGGCTTAGCCGTCGAACATACCTCTTAACTTAGAATCAATTACTGTGATTAATTAATTACATATTCTTATAACCCTTTAATCCATAGGTACAAGCTATTGGACCGCTTCAAGACCATCGTGGCAGGTTTTGCTGACAGCTACGCGTTGGCAGCGGACAAATGCAAGACCACAGTGAAGTCGGTGTCGTTGAGAGTATTGGCCAGAGTTTTGCTTGATGCCGATTCATTGTCCGTAGACAGTGCATTGGATAGAGCCACTGCTGCCTATAGAATTGTTGAACATCTCGCACAAGGTAAGTTTTTCAATTTGTTTTATGTAAGACTATTACATGCTCGTGATTTTGTTTGCCTAGAAAAATTGCGTCTGCCTTTTGTCCGTTCTTGTAATTGTGGCAATATAGTTTAAATATATCATATTAAAAAATATTTCTATAAAGCAAAGTGTTTTAGAATGCTGAAGTTATTTAACTTGGAAAATAACGATAAAAAATTCTATCTCGAAAACTACGCAAAATCGTAGACCATACATGGGGGTTAAATAGATAGGTATGGTACTCGGCTATCAGATTTCACGGGCTTGACACCCTATAAGAAACACCCTGTATAATTTTACGAAAATTAAGAATTCTTTCAGCCTGTATTCCAGTGTAAATATTGCTTTGGGTGCCCAAATTTTAGTAATGTCATTCGTGCACACGAACATGGGTTAACGACCAAGTGTATTCGAGCCATAAGGCTAATTATGCAACTAAATTTTCAGGAATCAGAAATTTTCATTGCGTTTCATGTGGTAAACAAGGTCTTACATTATTATAAGGTACAAACACATCGAGTCCTGTAATAACCTTTAATAACTTTGTAAACATTTATTGATCAGGGGAACAGCAGGAAGTAGGTGGTGGGGGCGAAGGCGCCGGTGCCAGCGTCGACATGGTGGAGACCGCGCGCAACTGGGCCCGGCCTGTGCACACCGAGCTCTCCGCGCTCGCAGACCTCAAGCGGCTGCTCGAGAGGTGAGCCTACATCGCGCTATAGAAATTCCGACGCTAACACATATATACAGAGCATGACCAACAGCTCGGTGCATATGGAATACTAGCCACTTAACATCAGGTGGGGTGGAGTCATTTGTTGGACCTATCAATAAAAAAAAATATGCCACTTTCCCTTTTATGCAATTCTAGGTATTCTTGAGAGGAAGTGAGCGGTTGACGTGAGTTGGAAGATGGGAACACCATAGAGGTATAAGAATAGAGTAGGGGAGATATGTACTCTACTACAAGTGGAAGTGTCTGTCTAGTAGAAAGAGAAAGGAGATGAGCGACGGCTAGCTATATCTCTCTCTTGTGACGCTGCGCAGTCTTGTGATTGGTCGGTATTAATCCGTAGGTTTTTCATCCAATGCGCATTCGCGATTAGAGAGATAAGGCTCCCTTGCCTAGGGGTCGCTCATCTTATATCTCTTTCTACTAGACGGACACTTTTAGAGCCGCCTTCCCCACTCAATTCTTATACCTCTATGGGGCACTCTGATTCTCCTTTGACATTTACGTTTCATTCCACAGACAGAACACGTTCCGGCCAGTGTTCGCGCCGTTACTACGGTCCGCGCGGCCGGAACGTAAACGGGTGACGCAGCTGAGGCGTTTGTTAGCCGACGCGGGACTACTGTATGAACAACTCAAGGACGCCTGGCAGGAACAGAAGCTAGATGGTAAGTGTCGTTCTGTCAAAAATAATCAATTTCAACGAGTTGATACTTGTAATAATATATAAAAAAAACGAGCGAACCTTACAGTAGTCGCGTATGATGTGCAACATTTAAACCTCACCTTATATTAGTAAAAAAAGAAATAAAACCTACTACAAAAGGAATAAGCTACTTGAACATTATGTTCTAAAATCAAATCAAAAAGCGCGCGCTTTCTCGACTTCCTATTACACACTTCCGTCCCATTTCACGAAATCACTGTCACAAATTGCAGAAAAGCGAGAGGAAAGATGTTACACATCAAAAAATATTTGTCGAATTTTAATTATTATATATCACGTCATGACAACCCGTATACATGGTGGCAAGCAAGGAAATTTGAATTTCCGTGTTTGATTAAGATAGTACAAAAACAAAGTACCGCCACAAAGTAGTGTTTATTCAGAGCGCCTTTTCTCTAAAGCTGGGATGGTCTATGAGAAAAAAAGAAGTAAACTACTTTCTTAAATTGCAGATAAGTTAGTCTTTTTGCACCATAACCTTCCCCTTCTAAATTTTGATTATGAAAATAATTCAAATCATAGAAAAATTCTTAACTTGTTTAATACAGAAAATGATTACATTATGTACCTGTTTTATGTTCCAATGACTACTTAATAAATGATTATAAAAGAAATGAGAACCTTACCCTTCTAAACCTTGATTACCACAATATTAGTATTTGAATACATAGAATCATCCATTTTTCCAATTTAGAAGATGATATTATGTACCAATGACTACTTAAATGATTATATATAATAGAAATGAAAATATGGATATATACGTATAATCAATCTATTTTAATTTTTCATTTTACCAATTATTTCTCTATGATAAAATATATTATTAAAGTATTCGGTAATCGGCCGAATAGAATAAAAGCAGCCGAATAGGCCGAATACCGAATAGTAACCGAATATTTGTTGCAAGTCTAGTACAGATGGTCCGGCGGGGAAACTGAATATGTGATACGACGATACGATTGTTGCTTGGAGCTTTGTTAAAAAAATGTTGAAAATTTTAAACCATCTACTCCCAAAAATATAAAAAGGGATTAAATATTTTTTGTTTCTGGGCAAGATCTGCAAACTCCTGAACCAGATCTTCATAAATTATAGCTAAGAACATGTCAGTCTTCAAAATTTGTCCATTCGTTTAGGAGGTATGATGCCAAAGACAGACACGTCTAACTTATAACACTCCTCTTTCGTCGGAGGTTAAAATGCGAGATTGTATGTCGAATAATATATTGATCATAATATTTCATTTAGGAATGAAAATTTGTAAGCTGTAAAAAGTCATTAATGAGTTATGGTACTCATTAATGACTTTTTATACCTCATTTGTATACCTGAGTTCTCACCTCACATTCCAAAGTTGCATTATCTCAGATTACATTAGTTCAGCTACAGTAAAGTAAATAATAATGATAAATATTTCTAACCCTCACACCAATTAGCCTAGCTCCAAAGTAAGCACTATAATACTATATATGTTGACGAAAATCCTGAAAAGTTAGAAAATAGATTCAGGTCATTGACAAAATTAAAAGTAGTAGTTAAACTTTGAGATCTTTTTATCTGTGGCTTTTATCATTTTCCACATAAAAAGTATAAATAACATGCTCTATAGTTGTCAAGAGATTTTATAAATATCTTACCCTAAGTCCTAGACAAATGCTGAATATGTATTTGCCTTATGCCCTAGGCAGTTTATTTTTGTTAATGTTGACATGCGTTTATGTGCACTTATGCATATTATGGAAGTACACAATTTATTTTTGTATGATAGATAATTTTGGGCCTCTGTGGGCTCCACGGGGTTGGGGATTGGGTCAGGGTAGGCAACAGCTCGAGTGATGTTTTCTGTATTGCAAATGTCTATAGTGGCTGCTTACCATCAAGGGCCATATGCTTGTTTGCCACCCTTTTAACATAAAAAAAGAAATATATAAGGTACAAGTCCGAATTGAACCGCAGACCACAGGCCGCAGCTGCAGACTGCAGGCGACACTACTGGTTTCTATGAATCTCTATGAAATTGATTCTGAGCGCGGCGACATGCCGCGGCTGCCCAATGCATATAATGCACGGTCAGCCGCAGTATCGCCTGCACCCCATTGCGAAATTGTACCTTTATAGTAGCTGTCCCAGCGAAGTTCGTACCGCTATAAAAAATAGGGGTTGTTGGTGGGTGAAAATTTAGGGTTGTATGTATTTTTGTATGATGATTCATAAAACAATAGAAACTTAACATTTAGGGTGATGAAAAATAGATGTTGTCCGATTCTCAGACCTACTAAATATGCATATAAAATTTCACGAAAATCGGTCGAGCCGTTTCGGAGTAGTTCAATTACGCACACGGCTAACAATAAACTTTATTTCTTTACGTAGGTTTAGAAAAGCAGTTGGCATCATTATCGGTGTCAGCGAAGGAGGAAGACATTAAGGAGCTCATAGAAATATTCGACTGCCACTTCGATCCCGCCAAAGAGCCTAAAGGCCCGAAACCTAGACTTCCAAGAAATAGGACTAGGGTGAGTTATTAATCATATCATTTATAACCTGTGTTCCGAACCTAGGGGTAATTACCCCTCCGGGGGTAAATCAGCCATACTTCGGGGGTAACAAAGAAACTAATTATTTGGTTAAAACTAAATAATACTACTAAAAAGAGCATGCGCTCCTTCTTGCTAGTGAGCCCGCGGGGTGCTGAGTGTGAGAAGCGGGGGCAGATTCTCTCCTGATGATGACATTATTAGAGACGAAGATGTAGCGGCCAAATTGGAATTTCTTATACTGATGATAACATTTTAAAGTCGGGGTAAAATCTGTTTTCCTAATAGGTTACAGGGGTAGCAGTATTGGAAAGGTTAGGAAACACTGATTTATAACTAGCTTTTAGTGAAATCACTGTTCATCATCATCAGTCTATTAGTGTCCCACCACGCGGTCACGTGCGGATTGGCAGGTGCTAACGACTGTAGATGCAGCCGGGACCAACGGCTTTACGTGCCTTCCGAAGCACAGAGGAGCTCTAAATAGTAAATTTTTGGTCACCCATCCAATGACCGGCAATGCGAAAGTTTCTTAACTTTAACGATCGCAGCCGAACGCGTTAACCACTTGCGCCAACGAGCTCCAATAAATCACTGTTATTGAATCGGAATTATATTGGCGGCTTTGACTATTATTACACATATAGAAGTTAATACTTAAAGTAATGGTGTTAATATTTTTTTATAAATTAAGTGCATTATCTTTATTAAAAAAACTTAGAACTGTAGGCCAATCAATCGAGCTGTTCTGTTTGATCTTGTTACTCACAAAACGTATATTTATGAGCAGAATTTATTATAGGTATGTAAAGAAAACTTTACTAGAATGAATTAATATTTAAAAACCACTTTTGTAAAAATACAAAATTTTTAAGTATAATGAATAAAATAAAAATGTTTTTAGGGTGTCAAAAGTATTCATTGTTTTTATTGTTCGATTTTATTTCAAAGACTAGGACTTGTATTTTTAGGTGAAATAGGGATAATCATTATTAAAACATTTTTGCCCAAAACTAACACGCTTCCTGGGTAGTTCTGGCCACAGAATAAATAGTAATATTGTAAAACAAAGCTTAACGAAATAAATTATTTTATCTACACTCGTATCTAAATATTCGAATTACGAATTTAAAGATGGTTTTATAAAGACATACTTTTTTAACCGCACATACATACCATTGGAAATAAAACTCATAATAGTACTGCAAGCTGTATAGTAAAATAAATTTTTAATCATGGAAATATAATGCGATTCAACAAGAATAGGACCGACTGGGCGCCATATTGTCAATTCAAACCAAATCGGTAGAGTGAGCAAAAAAAGTTTTTATTTAATAAAACTTATTTACTAACATGAAGTGAGAAAAAACATCAGATTTATTCAATAAAATTTATTTACTAAGATTGAGAAAAAAAAACAACCGATTTTTAATAAAATTTATTTATTAAGACTGTGTGAGAAAAAACATTAATCAGACAGAATCTAGCTCTTCAATTCCGCTCATCTCTGCGTTACCGCCGGAGTAGTTATGAATAATCATGCACTATTACTAGGTCACATATGAAAATGCATCCTTTATGTAAACGAAAGTTTTAAATCGATTTTATGAACGCAACTTAAAGTACAATTTGGTTGAGTTGATCCCGAATACTTGAAATGAATAAAGCTGGTTTAAAGACAACTCTAAAAGAAAATTAAAATCATTTGATTATCCTGCAACAGAACAAATATTAAAAGTTGATAAATAATCCTGTATTGGCATTGCAATCTTAAACTATAAAATGTCCTAAATGTATTATGTAGTCATTTATTTAGAATTTATCTTCTTACAATTCATAAGTTTTCTGACTATTGTTTGGGGTGGAGGGTTGTTAACCTGGGATACAGGAATTTTCCTAGTTTAGGTATCATTCCACCACAGTCTGCTACATTGTACCATTACTTCATGTAAGCCTTATTTAGATTGTGGTATGAGAAAATAAAAAAAAAATATTATTATTATAAATATTGAGTGAATGTTGTTTATTTGCAGGCGACGTCGTCAGCGGGCGAGACGGGGGAAGCCGAAGGCACTTCCAGCGAGTCCCAGCACAGCTCCCCGCACCATTCCCCAAATAACATTAATACCAACACCAGCGGCAACGGTAACTGTTTTATTTATTTATTTAAACATTTTATTTATATATTGTAAATTTTATTTATACGACGACCTCCGTAGCCGAGTGGTTTATACGCCGGGTTTCATGGTATCGCCGACTCGAGAGGTCCCGGGTTCGAACCCCGGTGGGGGCAGATGTTTGTGTGATGAATACATTTGTACTCCAGCTCCAGCAGCAGTAGGGATGTTTAATATGTATTTCTATATAAATATACTTATATATGTATCAGTATATGTCATCTATCCGTTACCCTAGTATCCCATAACACAAGCCTACTCTATTCTATTTATGTCTATTCATCCGTCAAATTGCATATGTTTTCATAGTCTATGGAGCAATTTAAATGGTTGTTCGATTTGTTCGCGCCAATAACCTTAATACAAAAGATCTCACGTCACAGTGGCGCTGAATAAGAGACTTGGAGTTTCCTAAACACCCTCATTAGTGTGCGTTGTTAAAAATATTTAAGTATGATTGTCTAAAGAAAATATTACTAGAAAAAAATCCTCGCGGACCAGGCAGCAGTTAGTACTCGCGGGTTCGAGTTCGCTATCCGGGCGAATGCACTGACTAAACTGACTTTAGATTTAAACATCGAGCAGTTACATGCTTAAAAAAACGAGCGAGCCTTACAGTAGTCGCGTATGATGTGTAACATTTGAAACCTCACCTTATATTAGTAAAAAAAGAAACAAAACCTACTACAAAAAGAAGAAGCCATTTGAACATTAAGTTCTAAAATCAAATCAAATAGTGCGCGCTTCCCAAACTTCCTGTTACACACTTCCGTCCCACTTCACGTAATCACTCCCACAAATTGCACGAAAGCGAGAGAAAAGATGTTACACATCAAAAATAAAAATTAAAACTATGTTTGTCTGTTTGTTTCAGAGGTAGCGGGAGATACTAGTCAAAAGGTTGCAGCGCCAGAGCCCGTGGCGGCTAACTAACGGCTGGCCAACAAAAGCTAGGACTTTTCTACTACACATTACTATCGTTTAGCGTCGTAACAGAGCCATAGGAATGTGACAAAAAAATAACATTTATTCGTATTATACACTAGGTTAAGTCTCCTTTGGAATTGAAAGAACATTGTTTTGCATGCATCGGTGAACGAGTTATCACATTGTTGGTTTATTTTTTTTATTTTTTCCGAATGTTCTGCGAACGCCCAGGTTATACTTTCTCCTTTGCTTTGCGCATAAAGTTTTTATCTATTAATTAATAGTCGGTAATGTAGTTGAGTGCCTTAGCAACTCAGTGTTATAAGAATATAACTTTATGTGTATCCCATAATAATGTTTTTGTGTCTACACGTATTCGTGAACGACGTTTTGGTTGTTTTTGCAATTGTCATCATCATACATAATAAATATTATAAGGCCGTTTATATACAAAATGAAATATTTTTAATGTCGCTGTTGTGTTGAGGCAGTGTTGTAAACTTTGGGGATCGAAGTTTTATACTATTTTTAATAATGATATCACAGTTTTAATATAGCTTGAAGGAAGCAATATTTTATTGTTTAAATTCGGGGCTAAGAACAAGGATATATTTAACATAAAGTACAATATGTTTTATTTATTCAGAGTTACTTTATTATTTAAAAATGTGTGCAATCACATGGGAACGGATGGACTGATTTTTTTGCATCCGCATAATATTTTAAAATGTTTTATTTATTTATTATGGTTTTCCTTTTGTTTTTTCATTTGAAGTAAAGTAAGTTACTAGGCTGTTATTGATGCATTTTGCTGTAACACTATGCCGCTCAAGTTGTTCCGTTTTGCCATAATAGAAAGTCGCTTGTCAAAAGCTGAAGTTTCCTTTTACCATACAATAAGCTATTTAATGAAGAAAATAAAGTGTGTACCTATTAACTTACCTCTAATTTAGTTAGTTTTAACATAGACTGTACATATAATTTAATTTCTTATTTTGTTCAGATCTCTAATAAATATGTAAGTCTACATATTTCATGTTTTATTCCACTCCCTTTATTGTAACACCCAAACGGGTGTTATAGTTCCCCTGCATATGATGAACAACAAAAAGGTCTCGATTCGGGCAAGATTCTCTAAACCTAAACTTAAATTTGTCAAATTTGTAGTGCATCCTTGCCATTTTCTTTACAGAATGGAAAAGAAAGATTGATGTTAAATTTAGTTTTAAATTTGAAGAATCGTGTCAGAATCGACACCAATGAATGACTAAGAGGCCACTCCTAAAATTAACCAGACCTGTGTGCTCCAGCAACCTCCCAGAACTAACTTGCTACCGTTTTGGGTGACAATGACAACAATATGGAATCTCGCTCCGAGATTGTCATCATTGCTCCAACAGTAAACTGATTTAAATATATTCTTAACAGACATTTGTTACTTAATACCATCATAATACATTCAAGTGCTGTTCTATACGGCGCTTTGCAGACGACGGGGCGGGGCGGGCCGGTCAATTTCGCCGCGAATAATAGCACAAAGTGAATCCTATACTTCAAACGCACACAGAGGGCAAAAAGACCGCGCCGCAGGTGCCCGGCGGGCACTGGCGGCGCGGCTTGACCGCGGCTGCCCGCCGTGGATCATACAAACCAGTTTATATGCAGTAACGCAGACGGCGGCGCGGGGCGGTCAGCTCAGTCCGCGCCACGCGCTTATTAGTGATGGACTATTCACTAGAACGAACGTCCTGAACTGGTGGGGGGCTGCCCGCGCCGCGTACACAAAGCACACGACGGGCACGCGGTCTTTATTGCTTCGCGGACAAAATGCTCGCCCCGCCCCCGTCGTCTGCTCAAACGCCTACACGTATAAGTCGCGGCACGAATCTAGCGCTGACCGTTATCGCGCAGAAGTAAAAATTAAGATGTCTTGGGAAGAAACGAGGTGCGCGGGTGGGCGTGCGTTGCGCCGATTGTGTCTCCAGTCCAGCGTTGCCAGTTTTTTTTTGCCAAGACGGGATTTAGGAACATTTTCAGTGAAAAAATCGGGATTCTTTCGTCGAAAGCGGGACAATAGTTACGTGACAATAGATGAACTTTATGATAGAAAAATACTAAACACAGCACTAGGAACAATATCCATAGAAACTGTATATTAATAAAAAAATGATATATTTGTTTCATAGGTTTTCACGCACATCACTCTTTAAATAAAACTAGCTTAAACGTCAATAAATAAATAAAGTTTCGTGCATTAACCCGTGAAAAACTAGCTTTATTTAATTTGATATCTTCATTACGCGCCGGGCAGGTGGCCACCCCACACTTGTCTGTGCCACCCGCCTGCGCTTTCTCAGTACGCTGCACGCACGATTGTTATTCCCGAAAAGCGGGATTGAGCCTGTCCCTGTCCCTGTAGAACTTTTAGTGTATCAATAAATATTTCATTAAATTTTTATTTTTTAGCATTTAGGCCCTTTGAAGACGACGGGGCGGGGCGGGCCGGTCAATTTCGCCGCGAACGATAGCACAAAGTGAATCCTATATTACGCACACAGAGGGCAAAAAGACCGCGCCGCAGGTGCCCGGCGGGCACTGGCGGCGCGGCATGTCCGCGGCTGCCCGCCGTGGATCATACAAACCAGTTTATATGCAGTAACGCAGACGGCGGCGCGGGGCGGTCAGCTCAGTCCGCGCCACGCGCTTATTAGTGATGGACTATTCACTAGAACGAACGTCCTGAACAGACCGCCTCTGCCCGTCGTGTGCTTTGTGTACGCGGCGCGGGCAGCCGCAGACATCGACGGGCAGACGCGTTTTTTATTGCTTCGCGGTTAAAATGTCCGCCCCGCCCCGTCGTCTGCTAAACGCCTTAACTGCTAGATGTTTAAAACTAAAGAAAATATTACTAGCATAAATTCCACGCGGACCAGGCAGCAAACGAAACTCGAACCCGCACCTTCCGCTATCCGGGCGGAAGCACTGACCATTATACTACCGCGGCCATTATTGTCCGTGTCGAATTTTCTGTAGTATTTATTAGGCAGCAGGCGGGTACATGCCTGCTACCTTGATTGAGTAACAAACTTACTTTCGCATTTATATAAGTTAGGATTGAATTTTCTATTTTTTTCATCACAAAGAAATATTTGGATGTACAGAGCGACAAAGATCTTTAAGAACGTGAGTGACAGTTCAGGGAGGGCGCCACTGTCTTCGTAAATGAATGACATACAAAATATGACGTTTACAAGCCGGGTGGACGGTTAGTTCCAAGTTTCGCCACATTCATAAAAATCTTAGTCACACTGTATTTATTTTCCTGCTTGATGTCGCATTTTTAGGCTTTCCTACCACCACTGCAACGACCCAGGATGAGATCATGTTGTGGTGCAATTCTCTAAGCTTAAACATCCTTAGCTACAACCATGATAATTCAATGTTGAAACATCAGCGAGCACTAAATCTGGTCTTTAGCAAAGTTGTTCCCGAAACTGCCGTTATAATTATATATATTTTTTTAATTATCTAAAAAGCTACTGCATGTGTGTGATTACTTAAAAGGGTGTTCGTAAAGTATCTTGTGTGCCAAATTGTACAATTCAGACTGTTCTGTTTTCACAGTATATTAAACAGTATAAGCAAGTAAAATTCAAGGTCAATTCGTCGACAACGATACTTTAACTTTTTCAGCAACTAGTTAGTTTTACTATAAAAAAATAATAATTTCACTGATAGGAATACCAGTACATTTTCTTATATTTCAAACTGATCTAGCCAAAACTTAATATTATCAGATTTTAAGACAAATAAATGAAATCAAGTTCTGTTAAAAAAATATCTTTTATTTACAAACTTAAGGAAGGTTCATTTTCATCCCCATAATCTGGACACCTGGGTGCTCTACGCAGCAACTGAAATAATAAAATCACACACAACAAAGCCAAGCAAGACACTATATCATTATCTACTTATTAATGATAAAGCGTGATATCACAGTGATGCTTTTTAATAAATCGTAATCATTCTGAGAGCATGCATATTTCGAACATTATAGTGGCCCCAAGTAAGGGGGATATGCGCCCCTACATCCCGCGCATAGCTGTGAAACCCAACCAATATTTTTAGGTTCCTCCACCACAACATCAACACCAAACAGTCATTAAAAAATAAACATTAGTGCTGGTTTACCCTAACCAGATTCTCGGCGAGGGTAGTCAACGCTTCCGACAGCTTGTTGATCGAGGCCGCCATTGCTTGTTGGCTTTGCGCGTAAAGCTCATGGGAACGAGCAGTGATTAATTCCATTTCAACTCGCTTCTCTTCGATAGCTATGAGCCTTTCTGTCAAGCTCGCTTTATCTGTTCGACGTCTTTTTGAATTAGAAAATCTATGACGGGGACGGTAGCCTGCGTTATCCGGTGACTGATGAATCGCGCGCCGGCGTTCACCTTTCTGTAGCCGCCGTACGGCATCTGTGAAATCGTTTACTTTTAAAAGGTACCAATTTCTAAAAATAAAAGACTATTACAAGACTGCTATAAAATAATTAGAAGTCCGATCCATTTTGTTTAAAATAAGCTAATGATAGATAAAACACTGAATGTTTTTTGAGTATTATAATAAAGTTCATTACGTGAGATACTATCTGACGTTTGTGATGATTCATCTTCAGCTAGTTGTTGTAGAACCTCTTCATTATCATCATTTGATGCCATCTATAATTTATAAAGAAAATAATAAAGTTAAATTATGTAAATTATTAGACACAGTAATAAAACTACTATGATTAGTGATACCATTTCTTCGTCGGAATTTATAGGTTGCTTAATATCAGCAGTTTCAATTGGCTGTGAAGGACCAGGGGAAGGTGACCGCATAATGTCCCTTATACTTCTTGCTCGCAACGCTGCCTTGGACGATTCATTCTACAAGTATTGAATATTTTATCACATACATTTATGTTACTGGCAAAATATAAAAATATAATTTAACTTCATAAGCAATATTGGGTTGTAAGCTGGTTATTTTTTTTTTTTGAAAAAAAAAACAAACTTGACCTGTGATACTTTCTGACTGTATGTTACTGCATATATTTTGACTAGCTATTTGTTAAATTTCAGATGCCAGAACAAATATTTATTTTTCTTAAAATGAATGAATTAAAGTTAATTTATGAATTGATTATAATCAAATTGAGAAGAAAGATTAGGACCTAAATCAATGAGAAAGTAAAGCTATAGAAAACTGCATGAATATATATTCAACCTACTTGAAGAGGGTCTACTGTCTTGTTCGCATTCCGTTTGGCGTTACTTTTAGCACTTATTAAGGCCATTATTCGTTGCTCAATATTGCTAAGACAGGCGATGTCCTCGTCTGGTGCTCCAGTGCTCTTTTCCTGTTGTTTAGCAACCTCAGTGGCTTTTCTTTTTACAGCCCCTTTTTTATCTTTCCAATACTACAAAACAAAAAACAATACCAAACAGTGTTTAGGAGAACCAATATATAGGTTAATAGTTTGGTACTTTACCTTACACCACTGCTGCCAAGATTTAAGACAACCAATGCGCTCACTATTTAGCACAATGGCAATTTCTTGCCATGCTGCACGTGTACGATTTCGAGCCATCGCAGTGCGCGCGTGTCCAGTGGCAAGGAAACGTTTTGCTTCCATAAATTCCACTAGTTGTATCAATTGAGCTAATGATGGGGAACCGTTTCGGGACACTAAATGCATTTTAATGAGATTAACATAAGCGAAATATACATCATAATATACTAAAAGTATAGTAAGTAAGCATACTTACTAGTATAATAACACATACAAAGTAAGACACACAAATCTTATGTATCCTTTAAGTATTTAATTATCTAATAAATAGAATTTGTGATGTAAGATTTAAAATGATGATATAACCTGACAAACTTTTTTCTTATTAATACCTGAAATAGAAATATTATGTTAGGAATATGTTAGCATATCGCACCTCTGGTGGGACACTGT